CGACGAGCTGCTGAGGCGGAAGGGCGCCAGGCGGCGGAGGTGGCCGGGAGAGTGGGGGATCTGCACGCGGGCCCGCTGCGAGGGCACCACGGCCTCCCCGGGACACAGCCAGGGCGGCGCCCGGGCCAGGATGCTCGGGGTGGGGTCCTCGTCCGGAGAAAAGACAGGGTTGTCAATCCCTAGGAGAAAGGACAGGGCCGGTCAGAGCGGCGGGGGAGGGCGCGAGGGAGCTGCTGCCCCGCCGGCACCTGGCGCTGTGGCTGCCACCTGCAGGGTCGCCCGGAAGGTCAGGGTCACGTGCCTGTCAGGTCAGAGGCCCCCCACCCACGCGCAGCAGGCGACTCCCCCCACCCTGCCGAGGGTCACCGTCCCCACCGCTCACCCGTGGGGGAGTCCGACGCTGTGTCCTTGGTGACGTTTGCCAGGAACTCGATCCCGCCATTGGTCTCCTCAGCGTCGTAGTTGGGGGCTTCCTCGGGGTCTGAAAGTTCTAAATCTGGTTTTGGGGGATACGCAAGGGAAACAGGCTGGCTCCAACGCCCCCCACCTGCTCCAAGTGCACCCTGAGGGGCTGTCACTGTGGCCACCCTGACCCAGCAGCATCTGGGCAGCCCCGAGGACGGCCGCGCGGGGGCAGGCTGGCAGAGTCGCCCCGGGCAGCTCCTCAGCTCACTCAGCCATGCCCGGCGTTCTGTGGTGGGTGGCGGGACCCTTGCTGGGAGGGGCAGCTCTCTTGTGGCCCAGTCATGGTGAGGACATGGGACAAGGGGCCATGGAGCGTCTCTGAGGTGCTGTCCGCCAGCACGAGGAGGACAAGTGCGAGGGGAGGGTCCCCGGAGGACAGCCGCGCCCCCGCCGCACCTTTGTCGCCGAGGGGGAAGCTGTGCGCCAGGCTCTCCGTGGGCAGCTTCCCGTTGGGGATGCTGCTGTTCCTCTGCGGACAAGCAGAAGCCACTTACACACGCGGACACGCGCCGCCCCGCCGCCACCTGCCACGCGCCCGGCCGCCGCCTCACCCGCTTCTGCGCGCGCTCCCTCCTGTACAGCTTGGCCGCCTTCTTGTTCTGGTTGACGCCCAGCTTGGCCGACTTGAAGGACTCCAGGCGCTTCCGCATGGTCCTGTGGAAGATCTCCTTGTCCTGCTTCTCGTCCTCGTTCGCAGCTAACCCGTGCCGACTGTACAGGTATTTATACTGGGGGCAGAAGCCACAGGGGCAGTCACGGCGGGCGGGGACACGTGGGCCCCGGTCACCCGAACCTCACGTCCTCCAGCCCCCATTCCGAGCTGAACACAGGAGAGGAGGCAGGAGGACGGGCTCTGGGAAGGGTGCCATGTGGACCCCCACCCATACTGTGCAAGGAAGGGCTCTGGGCAGACCCCCACCCCCAGTGGACAGGAGGGGCTCTGGGCGGGCCCCTGCCCTGCATGGCCCACCTCCTGCCGTGGCTTGTACAGGTACTGCTGCAGCGTGTGGTGGGTGACCATGTCCTCGGTGTCGCGGATGCTCCGCCGCCTCTGCTGCAGGGACTGCATGTCCAGACACACTGCACTGACGTTCTCCCTCCTGTGGGGGGACCACGCTGAGCCCATGGAAGCTGCTCAGTGGAGTCTCCCGCCCCCGGCCCTCCTTCTGGTCGGCATCTGCCCTGGGCGTAGGCACCTGTACACCAGGACACCTGGACTCCTGGCTGGTTCTTCTCCCCAGGCCTTCCTGGCCTCCTGTTTAAGGTTGTCCCCTTTTGGCCCCCTCTTGACCCGCCCCCTCCGAAGCCCTGGCTGTGAAACAGGGGATGGGGAGACCCGTGCCCACTGTCTGTCCCCAGCACCTGGACAGGAACTGGCCATAAGGTGTGGAGCCAGGGCCAGCATGGGCAGCAGGCTTGAAATCCAGGAGCAGTGCAGGCATCCCGTGGCCGGGTCAGAGAGACCGGCCTGAGCCCCGACTGCTGCCTGCCCTCCCTCCGTCCCTCCCTTCCGTCTTGCTGCCTCATACAGGTGGATTCGTGCCCCTCCCTCACTCCATGCCTCCCCCTGGCATCCAGGGTGGGAGCCCCACTGGTCCTATTTATGACTCTCAGCTCCCCCAAGGGCCTGGGGAAGGTGCTGGTCAGGGAAGACGCCTGCCCATCTGTAGGCTCCCGGGTGGTGGTGAGAGACGCCTGGGAAGGGGCCTCCTCCGGGGAAACGGGGCGAAGGTGGACGCGTACAGGAGGTAGGAGACAGAGGCCTCCACCACGGATGGCCGTGGTGTGCTGAAGTCCACGTTGACCATGTTGTCGGTGCTCGGGGAGCGGATGAAGGCCAGGGACCCGCGGCGTTCCCCCTGCAAGGAGGAAACGGCCTCTTCACCAGACGCAGAGTGGCCCCGAGGCCCCCGCCCACAGGGAAGGCACCGAGTGGCCGGGCTAAGCGTTTGGGCTGCGCAAGCCCCAGTGGAGACGGGAATTGTTTTTCTCTGAACGGACAGAAGTTTCCAGGCCTGCAACTGGCCCTCTGTGTGAAGGTCCGTGGGGTTTGCACAGACCGCCTCCTCCCTCTGCGGAGCAGAGACCCACTGCAGGACCCAGGGTGCCCGGCTCACCAGGCTCCGCCACTCAGGGAAGGAGCTGTAAGCTGCTACAGAGAAGTGGAGACCCAGCAGCTGGGCCACCAGCCAGCCCCCTTCCCCCTTCCTCAGGGCCCCATGAGACTCCCCTGGCCGGGCCACTGGGCCAGAGCTCCTTGGGGCAGGCCTGAGCAGGTGTCTAAGGCTGAGGACCACCTGCCACAGTGGACCTACTCTGGACACCGCTGTGGCCGTGGGGCCGGGTGGGGACGGCCTGGCCCTGGCAGTCTCAGAGACTTAGGGGCAGACCCATTTCCCTGAAGAAGGCAGGGGTACTGAGGACGCAGGACAGCCCTGCCCACAGCGTGTCCATGGACCAGGGAGATGTCCCCCTGCTCCCCTTTGTGTGCACACGTGTGTGCTGTGTGCATGTGCACTTGTGCCTGCGCGTGCTCCCAGCCTACTCCCCATCCTCTCCTATCTCAAGAGGAAAACATGGGAGCTCAGGGTCAGAGGGCCTGCCCAGCCCGCAGACCCGCCAGCCTCACACTGTGTCTGATGGAGTCATTGGGGCGCTGTGCCTCAGTTTCCCCAAGTGATAGGGAGTATAACCCATTCCCAGGTATCGGAGGACCAGTGAGCCTCCATCATCAGGAGCTGCCAGCACCGCCTCAGGGGTATGCTGGGGTGCAGGGCCCCCGCTGCCCCACCCGCCCACGCCCTGGACCGCATTGGCGTCCACGTCCGATGTCCGTGTCTTGCTTCAGCCCCCAGCCCCAACAAAGACAAGTGGACGTGCTGGTACCTCCGCCACATAGCTGATGGCGTCTTTCAGATTCAGCTCATGGAAAACATTCAGAATCCGATCACGAGACTTTTGAGCTGACCTTCTCATAAGGATTTTGCTGAGGAATTTCCTGTCGAAATTGGACCACCTGGGGGGACAAGCGGACACAATGTCAGCCCCTGGCGAGGCCTGGGTCCAGGGGGAAGAGGGCGGGGTGGGGTCCCCCCCACGCAGAGATCAGGAGTCCCCCAGGAGTCAGCCACGACCTGCAGGAGCATCCCTTTCTCTCCCCTGAGTGTTACCTACTGTGACAGCCCTAAAGATGGGTGTTAAAATGAGAGAAACGACTTCACCGCACCGCCTCCTGCTGTCCCGCCACTCTGTGCTGTTTTCCTATTTAGTGGCCGTTGTCATTCGAATGTACATATAGCTGTCTAAACAGTTTCTCCAGTGACCCCTAATCCTCCAGAAGGTGCAGAGGACAGGGCCGGGGTCTCGGGACACAGGGCTCTGGCTGCAGTGGGGAGGCACATTCGAACTGCACAGAAGGAAAGGCCGGGGAGGGCGAATCTCTGAGCTCTTAGACTTAGAGGGAACGAGCCGACCAGAGCAGGTTTTCTTAGTCCAGCAGTTAGTATGTTCACTGGGTATTCAGGTCAGAAGGGGACGTGGGCTGGTCACACTTGAAGGGGCACTTCTGGGGCACGGGGCAGGGGCTTCTGTCCTTCCTGGAGATGGATGGAGCGGCCAGACCTGGCCCTCGGGTACAGGACTGTGAGACCCTCTCGTGCAATCGCACCTGGGAGCGGACAAGGCTCCTTCTCTACCGAGTGCACCCAGCTGGTGGCCTCGTCCCCCCACGGAGCCGGGAAGTGCAATGACGGGTCGCTTTGCTTGGGTTCATTTTCAGCCTCACCGAGAAGCTGAAGCTAACTTAGGCTGTGCATTCTGAGACCCCCCAGGAGGCGGGTCTCTGAGCCCTTCAGGACAGAATCCCAAGAACCTGCGGTTCCACTTGGTGAGAATCACACGGCCGTGACTTCCTCATCGGACACAGACGGTCATTGCACAAGACAGGAGCGGGAATTCTTAAGTGCTTTAGTTATTAGGTTACTATAATTTTAAATGTTAATTATAAACATTATTTATAATAAAATATAAATAGACTGCTTCAGTTTCATAATCACACGGCCGTGACTTCCTCATCGGACACAGACGGTCATTGCACAAGACAGGAGCGGGAGTTCTTAAGTGCTTTAGTTATTAGGTTACTATAATTTTAAATGTTAATTATAAACATTATTTATAATAAAATATAAATAGACTGCTTCAGTTTCACGGACAAAGTAATTTAAATGTTGACTGACACTACCACATCTTTGTCTGTTAATAATATGGAGGAAATTATCTGTTTTCCGTGTTTCCAATTCCTGCATGCTTTAATAATGTAGAATTCACTGGGCCACAGTAAAAGGGCGTCTCTGCGCCCAGGAAGCCCAGGGGGACATGACTGGCTCACTCAGTGCTCCCTGCCCACTGCTGGAGTTTACTTTTCTTTTCCATGTGCCAGCCCCTGTGGCCTGGCCTTGAAGACACAGGGGCCCTGACCCGGTGCCCCCCAAGTATCAGGACCAAGCCCGGAACCCAGACAATTTAGCTGTTTTGAATGGAGGATTCCTCTAGAAGCTGGGCTGTGTGACATTCCCAGCACCTGCTGGTGGCCCTGTGCACACCCTGCAGCCCCACAGCCCAGGGGTCATTGGCTAAGGGGGGGAGCACAGCTGAGACAAGCACCCCACAGTTTCCCAGTTTCACTCCAGCCACGTACTTATCTCTGAGATAATTGTGTCCGATTTGTCCCGAGATGTCCTCAATGGCAGAGAGGATGTGGTCAAAAGCCTTTTGGAGGAGAGGAGGTCAGTGCCCTGGGGCGGCCAGCTCCTGACACCGGCCCGCGCCCACCCGGCCCTGTATGCTGTGCCTACCCGGCCGTGCAGCTTCTCGTTGAGCCTGGGCTCCCGCTGCTCACTCCTCTTCACCTTCAGCCATTGCACCAGTGGCTTGATGGTCAGGCCCTACAAGGTGGGGTCTTTCTGACCCTGGCGGCCACGGCAGGACCCCATGTCCCACTGGGGCCCATGGAGCCCCACGATGCAAAGGTCAGAACATGCACCCTGAACCACCTACACCCACTGGGGTGGCCCCAGGGTCCCAAGTGGCCCTGCCCGCCAGCGGTCATGCCGACGCCCCAGCAGTTTGCTCCTTTGATTCGCTAAAAGCAGAGGCAAAGTGGGGCACGTCCCTGCATGTCTGGCTGGTGCCAAGGACACACCAACAGGGCTTTGTACACCAGCGACAGCAGGAGGGACATTTAGGACAAATTGTGCTATGTCCCCTGTGGGGCCACGTGAAAACCTACAAACTGCTCCTAGTTACTAAAATTGTAAAATCCAATTAGGGTCTGGAGCCTGGAAATCTTGTCCTAAAGTGCCAGGTGGCTCATGCCGTGGCAGGCCGTGAGCGGGATCCGCATGGTGGGGCCACGTGGGGGTGGGGGTGGCACAGGTGCCGGGCGCACCTGGAAGATGACCGTGAAGAAGACGACGATGATGGTGGTGCTGACAAACAGGTTCTTCTCCTTCACCTTTTCCTGGTCCAGCAGCACCACGAGCGCATAGGCCACAGCCCCACGCAGGCCACCGTAGGACATGACCACCTGGTCGATGATCTCCAGCTGCACCATGCGGTACCGGTTCAGGATCCACGTCTGGAGGACGACGCCTGCAGAGCGGCCAGTGCTCAGCCCCACCAGCCACAACCCGTCCTCCAGCCGTCCCCAGGACGGTGCGTGCTGGCCAGGTGCATGGTGCTGAGGGCCGGCACCCTCCTGAGCACAGTCTCCCCACACCATGTCCCTCAGTCTCATCCAGCTGGAAGCCTTTCTCCAGCCTCTCAGGCCACAGGTCCCACACACGCCAGGACCTAAGCAGCCCCCGCGGTCAAGGTATCTCCACACCACGCTCTGCACAGGCACATGTGGGCAGGTGGTGACAGGTGTCTAGCTTCCCAATGGCATTTTTCACAATCACAAGCCCCCATGTGGGGGTTACAGGCAGCAGCAAGGCCAGGACCCACCCCAGGGCAGGGTGTTTCTCCCCAGAGCCCTCGAGTGGCTGCCTGCAGGACTTCCAGCTCCTGCCTTACTGACCCTTGCCTGGGTCACATCCAGAGTGAGTCGGAGGAAGCCAAGTGGGCTCTTTCTGGGTTCCAGAAACGTCCACCCTGGCCCCAGGCCCCACCGTCTGGTGCCCTCCTCTGCCCTCCTGCAGCACCACCCCTCAGTCTTTCCTGGGGGACGTCCCTGGTCCTCATGGCCACAGCCCATGCCCCGCCTCACCGATGGCCCGGTACACGGAGATGAAGACCAGCGTGAGGAGCACGAAGGCTGTGTTCCACGTCCAGATGAGCGGGTCCACGGCCGAGATGCCCAGGAACATGAAGATGATGGTCTCAGCCCCACTGGCCAGCATCTTCATGGTGTAGCGCACTGTGGTGGCCGACTGCTCCGAGATGTTGGCCGTCACGTACTTCTGGCAGCAGATGCCGCAGAAGGTGATGCTGTAGAGTGGGGAGGGCACCTCAGGGTGGGGCACAGGCAGGGTGGACCCAGGGGGCCAGCCCGAGGCCCCCTGCCCATCCCTTGCTGGTCCCCTGGAGGCATGGTGGCCCTCTGCATCCGGAACGCACGTCCTCCCCACTGGCTAGCCCCTCGCCATGTGAACTCCGTGCCTCCTCCAGATCAGTGCCCCGAGCAGGGTCCGTTCTGCTGTCCCGGCTCCCAGCGGGCCTAGTGCCCTGGATGCAGGGGTCCCATGCATCTGTCTATGACGCTCGCATGGTCTGGACCGCGAGTGGGCTGTGGGGCCAGCGGCAGCTGTCACAGGCCGGGCTGTGCAGTCTGGTGGGATGCTCGGGCGGCTCACTGCCGCCTGCCTTAGAGCACAGGCAGCTGCGGACAAGGACAGCTGACACAGTGTTTCTGGAAACATTTCTTGAGGCCTCGCCCATGAGGCCCCTCCCCCATCTCTCAGAGCAGGCGCCGCAGCCAGCCCAGGGAACGTTCTGTGGAAACGCCAACTCCTTATTTAAAAATGGAATAAATCAAATTCTTCACCCACGATGAATTTCCACCCAGCTTGGGGAAGGGCCAAGCGGAGGTGGCTGGAAAATGCTCTGAAAGGTTGTGCTCCGCCGCTGCGGCAGCCCGCCTGCCCCGTCTGCTCACCCTGGCACCCCAAGCAGCCCATGCCTGGGAGAACAGGGGACTTACGCCAGGATGGCCGACAGGGACAGCATCTCGGACGTCAGGTAGGACAGGTAGGAGATGACAAAGACAAAGCCGGGCTCGATGATGCGCACGTGCTTGGTGAAGCGGGTCACCAGCGAGAGCAGGAAGGCGAAGACGATGCCCACCAGCGTGCCCCCCAGGCTCACCACGAAGAAGGACACTGCAGGACAGGACGTGGCTGCGGCGATGAATGGCCCTTTGTGGCCCACAGCGTGGGCAGGGCCGGCCAGGGACCTCCCCCTCGGGGGCACCACAACCTCAGGAAAGGAGAGGTCGAGTCTCTGCTCTCAGAGCCAGACTGTGCTGGGAACACGGGGAGAGGACTGTCCCATGGCCCCCAGGACCCCACCCGCCATGGGAGCACCACCGCGACGAACAGCCTGGGGCTGGGACACTGTCTGCTGGCCTCATCCCTGCCCGGTGAGACGCACAGGCCCCCACGGTCCACGTCCAATCATGTTTGTGAAGTGCTCTGTGTAGGGACTGTGTGCAGAAGGGCCCATCATGGCGACTCTGGGAGGAAACCCCTTGTCCTTTGTGGGACGTGGGTCCCAGGAGCAGCAGAGGCCCAACGATCATCCAAGTTCTAGAGTCGATGCGGCCGCCTGCATGCCCCTGGCAGACCCCTGCGGATGGGCTGGGTAGGCCCTGCGAGCACATACCTATGCCTTTCACACAGTCCACGCCAGTCACGTTGTCACTGCCCAGTGTCACAAAGGATTCAAATACGTTGTACAGCACCTGAGCAGACAGAGAGACAAGCCAGACACCCGGTCAGACCTCCACCCATTGCGGCCCGGGCCTCACAGGACTTGGTCCGAGTGTGGAGCCTGTGGCCACTGAAGACTGTTGGAAGGAGAATCACTACAGGGCAATAGTGACGGACAGGACAACGCCAAAGAGGAGCCAGCAGGGGGACACGTGAGACAGGAGAACATTCCGGAAGGGGCTAGAAGCTTCAGGAGCAAAGCTGGCCTCTTCCTACTCTTAGCAAAACAGGGGCAACCACAAAGGTATAACCTGCCACGTTTTCATGCTCAATGTCATTTACCAAGACACACCAGAGTGTCACTTTCAGTGACTTTGCCACCATGTGGCCTCTAGATTGTGAGATCGCACCCTTGCAGTCTTTGCGTGTTGATGTTTCAACCTTATCTCATCAAGATGTTGAGATAAAAAGCCCAGAAACCTTCTCCTGCACCAGAGTGTGTGGAGACGGCCGTGTTTTCTGAGCCTGGCTCTTGCCGAGCAGGGGCCTGCGAGGGGCTTCCTGGGCAGCTCAGCTCCCTCGTGGGAAACCCGCCTCTGTGCTCGCGGATCTGGGCAAGGGGAGAGGGGATGCCCAAAAGGCTGGGCGGGTGAAGCGCTTATAAAGGGCACGCACAGCAGTCTTCAGTTCACAGGTGGGGTGTCATGGTCACTGAGTCCTGGCAGGGCCCTCAGCGGGGCCGCGCATCCTTATGAAACGTGCTTGGGAGGAGACTGGACCTCACACAGGAAACCACTACGCAGGAGCTGTCGCTGTGCTCCTGATTAAGCCTCAAATGAACCCTCAAGTCCCTCTGAGCACATCCTGTCTGCTACGTAATGGAAGGGATCTGGTGCAGCACGTCCTTGGGGTTTTTCACTGTCCTAAACCCTAAAGGAACACGAGAAACTGGAGAATTTCTTAGGGAAGCCGCAGGTCCTTCCAGGGGAGGAGAAAACCAGCCACAGGCTCTTTGGGCGGCTGTGTCCTGCTGTGTCCTGCTGTGTCTGCAGAGTCCTGGGGGGTGGAGATGGAGGGAAGTGCCGGGCCTGGCCCAGAGCCCGCACCCCTGTGATTGTCACTAAGGGGACTGTGCGGGTCCACCAAGTGATCTAATGACCCATGTCCACGAGGGGTGAGCCCCAGTTTGGGGACGGGTTTTGAAACTTGCCCGTGGCCACTGTGAAGTCCCACATCCCGTGACTCTTCCATTCACTTTATGTGGAGCGGATGTGGACTCGGGGCCTCTGCACCCGCCCACGGGACCGGATGAGCTCCCAGGACACCGCCCCCCACAGAAAACCCACAGCATCGGCGGGAGCTCCGGACACCGCTCAACTTTCGGGCCTCTGCACCCGCCCACGGGACCGGATGAGCTCCCAGGACACCGCCCCCCACAGAAAACGCACAGCATCGGCGGGAGCTCCGGACACCGCTCAACTTTCCTCCCTTAACTCCAGTCACGGGCTGCACTGTGCCCTGCAAAATTCACGTGTTGATGTCCTAACCCTGGGACCTCAGAACGTGACCGTGTTTGGGGACGGGGCCTTTGAAGAGGTGAGGAAGGGAAAGGCCCTACTCTGCTGTGACTGGTGTCCTAAGAAGAGGACATGAGGACATGAACGTGCACAGAGGGACGACAGTGCAAGGACACAGGACGAAGATGCTGGCTGCGCACCCTGGAGGGGCCTCAAGAGGAACCAGCCCAGACTTTGGACATGCGCCTCCAGGGCTGTGAGGGGACAGCGGTCTGTGTTTCAGGCGCCCCGTCTGTGGGTCTTTGTTACGGCAGCCCCCATGAGATTTCGTTGCTTGCTTATTTGTCTATTTTTTAGGAAATCAGGGGTGGTGGCAACAAGTGTTGGTCCAGAATTAAAGACCCCTGTCCTAGGGAAGGGGAACACGGGATTTCAACAGTGACAGCATCGGCCCTAGAGGTGCGAAGTAGGCAGGTCTAAGAATTGTGCCAGGAAGGAGGAAAGAAGTCTAATGAAACCGCCATCCCCAGTCGGGGCGGGGGGCAGATGCGGGGACACCACTGGAGAGGAGCTTGAGCAGGGACCGCCAGACGCAGGAGGCCCTCAGCCTGCAGCGGGTCTGAAGGCCGCCGTGCTAACTGATGCGGGGTCTCCTAAGTGGCCGTGGCAATGCCATGACGGGAAGGCCACTTGCGGGCAACGGACTCCTCTCTCTGTGTTCCAGCCCCAGGGACACGGGCGGTGCCCCGGGGCCCTCTGGTTTTGCCACACGGTGGCTGCGTGTCCGCTCTGCAGCCCGCCTCAGGAGCCCTGCCCCTCGCCCACTCACCACAGTGACAGCATCATTCAGCAGCGACTCTCCGAAGACGATGATGAACAGGACTTCGTTGACATGGACCTCCTCAAACACGGCCAGCACGGCCACCGGGTCCACGGCAGCGATCAGACTGCCAAACAGGAGGAAGTCCAGCAGCCCGATCTGCAGCTCGCCTGCAGGACAACGGGACACGGGGAGGCCGCTGGGCCCGGCAGGACCTGGTGCTGGCGCTGCCCAGGGGAAGGGGGAGTGCTGGGGCCGGGTTGCAGGGAAGGCCCCGAGGCATCACCCAGGACCCAGAGAGGAGCGAGGCCAGGCCCGCGCCCCCAGGGGAGAGCTCTCGCTGCTCCAGCTGGGCTTGCCGGCGCGGCCCTGGGTCCGAGTGCCTGCTTCCCTTCCCTGGCCCCCACAGCCATTCAAGGAAGGGTGGTTGTGCCCAAGGGGGGCCTGCCCTGTCTGGCCAGCCCACCCTCCACAGGCAGATGAGGGGCCCAGCCCTGCACAGCACAGCCTGAAGAGAGCCAGAGCCCCTCCCCAGGGGTCCCAGTCCAGGGTCCACCTGCCCTCGTGTGTGGCTGCAGATGGCTCATGTGTGCAGGGCGAGGGGCCTCCTCCTGGGGGGCTCCTGGGAAGTGACGTCCCACCCAGACTCGGAGGAGGAGGGGTGGGGCAGGCCTCGCAGGAGCAGGACAGGCCACCGGGGGCTGCTGGCCGAGAAGGGGCCGAGATGGGCAAGGGCGCACGGCGTGTGGTGTGTGGGGGTGGGCAGTGCGGGGGGCCTGGGAAGACACAGGTCAGCTTGTAGACCCCGCCCCCGGCCGCGCCCTCCCTCCTGCCCTGCTTGGTGGCCTCCTGGGCCCCTTGCTCCCTGCGGTCCTTCCCGATGGTTCCCATTCATCGCAGGTTTCAGACTTCGAACAGGCCGTATGCAGAGCCTGCCGTTTCCCTGCGACGGCCTCTGTTGACCTTCAGGGACAGCATGTGATTGCATGTGGTCACGTGTACGGGCCCCTGTGGGGCCCCGTCCTGCCTGCTTTCAGCTCCCGGAAGCTCAGAGGACAGGGGGAGGGGGGCTTCCTGCTGCCTTCCTGGCTATGAGGAGAGCATTGAGCCCTGTCCCCAGCCCAGGGTACCCAAGTAGACCCTAGGAGCCCAGGTGACAGCTGTGGCCTCAAGACAACCCCCAGGGGCCGGGGCTCCTGCTCTAAGTCCCGGGCTGGGGCAGAACCTGCCCGCTGTCCAGGGCCACAGCTCATGGAGGTTTGTGCCTGTAACAGTGAATGGTCCCCTGGGAGAGGGCAGGGGACCACGGGAGGGGATGGTCATCTCTGCAGGACTCGGCCCGAGTTTCCTGGGAGCTGCTAATCCTTGCAGCCCCGAGCCAGCTCACTGCAGCTGAAACAGCCGTGGATGCTGTGAGTGCCAGCTTCCGATGCATTAAAGGTTCAATTTGGAGTGGGACCCTCACACCAGGCTTTCCGTCCCCAAACCGTCTCACAGTGGAAGTCATGCAAGCTCTACCAGGCCTTCTGGACGCAGTCCCCTTCGAGGTCAGTCTTTAAACGCTATGGTCTCCCACTGCCTCTCACTGGACCTGGCAGACCCGGTGGTACATTCCGGAAATCAGTGGACTCTGAGCAGCAAGGGCAGCCTCGAAGCGTCCTGCGTCTGCTGAACTCGAACTTGCAGGCAGCGGCCTTTCTCGCCTCGGTCTGGACAGTCCATCACCGACCCTGCCAGTGAGTCTAGTGGACCGACATGGGGCTCACGGCTGCCAGGCTGTGTGTTCTGGCCTCTCTTCACCTCGGAGACCTGTGGCTTCACCCACCTGCGGGCCTGTGCTACCCAAACACCTGCCTGGATGACCGCTGCCTGCCTGCGGCCTGGCCAGGCTGACCCTCTGTGGTGGGGTGAGCCCAGCCCCATCGGGCTCCCGGGACAAGACAGGCTTGCTGGCAATGGGCGTGCTCTGCTGCGTGACCTCAGCTGATGGCCTGCCTTGACCGCTGGGTTTCAGGGCTGAGCCAGGCTTCAGCGTCTCTGTCCCTGGGGGAGCGGCCCTGCCTTGCGCTTGACAGACGCAGTGCCGCTAAAGGACGCATAAGGCAGTTGGAGGACTGGGTCAGTCGGAACCCAGCCAGCTGTGCCCTGCGATCTGTGGAGGCCAGCACCATCTCGGACCGGGGCCAGGGGGGACGGCTGTAAGGATGCTCTCAGCTCCACTGTGCAGGCTTGTGGCCACCACACTGCAGAACATGCCGGACTTTGGAAGGAGCTGCTGCTGCCAGCCAGATCGGTTCTCAGCTTCTCCATGCCACCCTCAGAGCAACACAGGGTCATCCATGGCAGGAACTCACAGGTGTCACGGGCTGCCAGGGGATGGTGAGTATGACCTTTGAGGAGCCGTGTCATCGTGGCATGTCCCCACCACCTGTGGCATCACCCATGCAACTAGTGACACCACATGCGAGCAGGCGCCTGAGCTGTGGTCCATGCTCTGCGCGGTGGCCAGGAGCTTGCCCCTGGTGGGTTTCTCTGGGGAGGGCCTGGTGGTTGGTGCAGGTTGGCAGGGGCTCGCGGGAGCTCCCCAGGTTGAGATCAAGGTCCCGAGGGGATTCCTCCAATCAGGGTCCTTCCTTCTCGATGCTTTTCCTCGGTCACTAGGGGGTCAAGGTCAAGATTCATGTGGTGGGGGCTGTGCAATGCTCTCCTTTGAGCCCGGTGGAAAATTGTGGTTTGGGGTCCATCCCCGTGAGTAGCATTGGGGGCTGCGCAGTGCTGAGCGCATCTGTGTGAGGCATCGGGCGAGCCACCAGCCACAATCAGACTGGCCTAGCTCCCAGGGGCAGAGTGTGCCCGAAGCGCTGTAGCTGTGCAGGCAGCAGCGGCATGAGATGTGGTGGAAGAGAAGCCCAAACGCACGGGTGTCACTGGAATGTGTTTGGCTTTGCGATCATGGAGCTCTGGTGCCAGGATCCTCCTCTCTGTCCCGGGGACCTTGGTGGCTGACCCCACCTCCCACACGCCCCACCCACCGGCCAACCTGGTGGGAAGGGAATCCAGCCGCAGCAGGACACGCGCTCGGCCTAGACTGCCTGTCCAGATGCTCAGGGACTGGCTACTTACGATCTAACCCTTGCTTCGAACGTGCAGGGGGTGTTTAAGTGCACCCCCAGTGAGTTTCTCACCACCCAACACTCACCCCGCTTCGGTCTGTGTCCCGCACCCTGACTTTTGTCACACGGGGCAGTCCACAGCCCACTGCAGAGCCCGCAGGGGCAGAGCGTGCACTCACCCATCAGGCCGCTGAGGAAGACGCCGTAGAGGGACAGGCCAGTGGTGGCCGCGTTCCATATGGTGCCGATGACGGCGTACAGCAGGATGGTGCCCAGGTTGCCGAAGAAGAGCCGGTTGGGCATGAAGTAGCCGGCGTCCAGCACGATGGGCGGCAGCAGGTAGAAGAAGAAGACGGTGGGCGTGAGCGTGAAGGAGGCGATGTGGTCAGCTGCCCAGACGATGCCGCCCAGCACCAGGCCCAGGACGATGAGCAGCGCACTCTCGGGGACCACGCTGGTGACCTTATGGGACAGGTGGAAGACTGCGGGGGAGGGGGAGAGTCAGCAGGGCCCCGGACCCACAGGGCAGGGGAGACAGGGCTGATGGGCCGGGACCCTCCCTGTAAGGCCCCCATGGGACCAGGGGACAGGATCCTCATCCCGGGTCTCCAGGGGCACCTGCAAAGCCCCTCCCTGTCCATTTGCGAGACTGCCCACAGTGGAAGGTGGGCGATAACCCATGGACTGGGAGAACTCCTCTGGAGACTGAGTTACTCTCCCTATGGCTGGCACAGGCTGACAGTGCCCAGGTTGAGCACCGAACAGACGGGACTGAATCTGGGCTCTGCCACTGACCTCCTGGGGTCTCCGCATCCACACCAGTCGGTGCTTCCCTCCAGCCCCCACCGTGTGCTCCGGGAGGCCCAGGGGGTGCAACCAGACCCTTCCATGAGCCCTTGGGAACTGCAGGAGGACCTGCCCAGCCACCACCCGGGTGCAGGTTGGTGCCCTAGATGCTTCTCTCCCACCGCAAGCCCTCCTGCTTAGTCGGCCCCAGGGGGGCTCAGTGCTGGGGCTTCAGCTGTCCCCCCACTTTTCCACAGGGAGCCCTGAGGGCTGGAGAGGAGGGGGTGCATGGGCGGCAGGTACAGCTCCCGGAACAGAATCGGGGACGGGGAGGCTGCACCGTGGCTGACTGACAGAGGCCCAAGCAGGGTGCACAGTCGCCCCATGCCCCTACCTGGCCAACCTCCCCATGTCTGATGCATCTGGAAGCCACACGCTCTCCATCCCCCAATGCCATGTCTGGTGACGGTCCCTGAGGTGTCTGGAGCTTGCCTCATTTTCATACCCTCTGGAGGGACCCCCAGGGCGGCTGTCTGCCCCCCCAACCCCCTCTCCTAGGATCACAGCATCTTCTGAGGCAAGGGTCTCCAGCTGTCCCTAACAGGAACTAGCTCAATTCCACACACTGGAGCCTGCAGAGTGGACAGCGAGGCCTCAGGGGTCTCCTCAGCCCCAGCCAGCCTGTCCTCCACCTGCTGGGACCTTCGAGGCAGAGGCTCAGCCCTGTGCTGCTGTCACAGCTGCAGGCATGGACCTCTCGGGACCACGTCCACTTTGTTTCACGTGGACTCAGAAAAAGCAGGTCATGGGAATTGTATGTTAAGCCTAATTTCAAAGTAGTTGAAATGTCGACAAGTGAGGTCGACTCCTCTGGCTTAAGCAACACGTGATATAATTATCTTTTTCACTCACGGAGGTTCTGCTTATTAAGCCTTTGGCGTTCAAAGACAGGTTGTCTCCTGAGATAGCCAAGACCCCAGCGACGCGCAGCGCAGCATGGGAGATGGGAAGGTTCCCGACAGCTGGTTGCTGCTAACTCCGTCCGCCTCGGGAGAAGACTCTGCAGGCGAGACTGGAGGGGTGGCGGGGTTTGGGGGCTGTGTCCACTGGGTCCCCATCAGCCCCACCCTTCCTAATCAGGTGGCCCTGACTGAGTTCCTGGTCTCCTCCCTGGCCTGTTTCCTCACGTGTAATTACGGGGTTATTGCAGGATTAGGTGTTAGCTCCTGTGAAAGGCTCCCACACCCAGAGCAAGGAGGAGCCGCGCTGTCGTGTGGACGCCCCGTACCAGACGCTGAGGGCTGCACTCGCCGCGTGCAGGTCCGGCTGAGAAGCACAGCGCCAGGCACAAGCGCGGCCCCTGTGCCACCCCCGGCACCGCTCTACGGCCCCACCTTCGTGTCACCAGGAGGGCATCTGCCTGCCACTGCCTTGGCTGCTGGTCCGTGGACCCCATGGCAGGGGCAGATGGGTTACTGCTTTCCGGATCTGAGGCCCTGCTGGGTCCCTGCCACCCTAGGGTCTGCAGGCCCAGCTGTGCATCCTGCATCAGATCAAGGCTGTGTTCTCCCCTCTGGGGGAGTCACAGGTGTTAGGTGGGAGCAGCAGGGAGGCGCTGCCTTGGGGAGAAGTGTCCTTTGCAGACACTTGAGCTCACGGTTCAGGGCGGCCAGCCCCACATGACTGATGATGACCACACCACGCAAGGCACATGCAGCGGACAGCACCACAGAGGGGCCTCCCAGCATGAGGGGGCCATTTCTGCAGAGCCCCAAGGGCCAGTTCCCTGGAAGCCCTCGGGTCCTGCCCAGGGCTGGCTGGACCTTGGAGGTTTTAGCCCAGTCTAGCTCGTCAGCAGGAAAATATCTGGAGGGTCTGGGCTTGCCAAGGTTTGCAGGGATATGGGTGAGAAGGTCCCATCCCAGGCAGTGGGTGCTGCCACACACGGCGAGTGCCTGAGAGCCCCTAGCCAGTCCTCAGCAGTGCCTCGTCCCCAGGCCTGGGCACAGGACTGCTGCCTAGCAGAGGTGTCTCTCTCCTGTGGGCTCCACCTCCTGGGCCCTGTGGTGATCAGAGGCAGGCCTCACAGAGCTTTGGGAACAGACCTGGCTGTGTCGTCCAGCCCTGCAGGGGGAGGCCGTGTCCTCTGCACTGGGCCCTGGTGGCCACAGGCGCAGGGCAGCATGAGGCCTCCTGCAGGTCCTGGGCCCAACTCCAGACCCCAGGCTGGGCAGGTCCTCGGCTGGCCCAGGAATCTGTATCCCAAGAGCTCTGCGGCCCCTCAGGAGTCGCACTGTGGGGTCCTGCATGGTGGACTCTGGATCAGGAGCCTCCAGGTCACTTGTCAACGTCCACAGATAAGCCAGGTTTATCACGGTTGTTCTCTCCTAATGGGTGGAGAAGCTGGCCTTGGCGTCCAGGAGCTGTGTTTAGAAAGAGCCGGGTGGTCTCTGCCCAGGGCTGGCACTCTCCCTCTCCTGAGGGCCTGACCTGCCACCCGCTGCTTGAGCCACCACAGCTCCCCCGTCTGTGCAGTGCCCGCCGTCTTCCTGTTGTGAGGCACGGCTCCCTTGTCACTCACCCCAGCTGTCATTTTTCTGTGCACGGCCTGTTTTCTGCCTGTCTTCAGACCCTGGGCTGGGGCTTGCTGGTGTGGACCTCTCTGAGGATAAAATGCAGTGACCGAAAGAGACAGCATGTGCTGGCCAGGCGGGTGCCGTGGTCACAGGCCAGGCTCGGGAAGCTCAAGGAACCTCTGAACGTAGAAAGTTCCTGGCCTGAGGCCCGCGAGGGAGGGCCCCTCAGGCCATTCTGCTCAGGACTTTGGTCTTTAAGCCATAATCTCCTCCAAATTTAGAGATTTGCAGCAGATCATAACAACTGTGAAGACCTTTGACAACCGTGGGGCCAGCAGGTCAGGGAGGCTGCACGGAAGCTGCTTATCAGAGATGGCAGCAGTAACAAAACTTTGCACTTGAGGAACTCAAAGGCTCCTCGGCGCTATCAGCGAACCCTTCGCGCATTCCTGCGCAGCAGCTGGTTACTGTAAAACCTCACTAATCTGGAGCACGGTGGGTGAGGGACAGGCTGACAGGGACAAACGCTCCTGCTCAGAAGTAAGCCCCGAAAATCCACAGCAAAGAAATAATTTGAACTTTTTACTCTTTCGGAAGAAAAAAATACGTAGACACGTATGAAGTGCAGGTGGGCAGGTGGGTGTTTCCGCCTCTCGCCAGCGCGATGTTGGAAAGACACCCTGGAACACACTCCTTTTCCACAACGCGGGCGTGTTGGAGGGGGTTCCGAAAAGCGTGTGGAAGGCGTGTGCATTCCCCGCACCGAGAGCTCACCTGTGTCCTCCTGCACCTGCCCACGTGGCCCGGGCAGGCGCGGCCTGCACCTCTTGGAAGATCTAACCTACCCTTTTCTTACCGTCAGTGAGGGCTGAGCACCTCTTCCCTGAGGAAGGCTCCCTTTTCTTATGGACACGTGGCTCTGCACATGCTGGAACACTCGAACCTGTGCTCGTGTCTTCAGGTGCGGGCGCACCTCCGTCTGTGACTGTCTGCTTCGCTTATGCTGCTTTGGTGCATGTGACATCTATTTACACAGTTAAGTTTAATCAGTCCTTCATTCTATGGCTTCTGAGTTTTGTGTTATGCTTTAAAAAGCCTATTCATGGGGCCGGCCTGGTGGCGCACTGCTACAGTGCGCCGCTTGGGAGCGCAGCGGCGCTCCCGCCGAGGGTTCGGATCCCACATACAGACCGGTTCCCGCTCACTGGCTGAGCGAGGTGCGGGCGCAACGCCGAGGGTTGTGATACCGTTGCCGGTCCTGGTCCGGTACGGACGCGACACTGAGGGTTGCGATCAGTTGCCGGACACGGAAAAAGACAACAACAACAAAAAAGCCTATTCATGTTTTATGCTAACCTGTTGTTATTTATGCTTTTTAAAATAAAGGCANACCGTTGCCGGTCCTGGTCCGGTACGGACGCGACACTGAGGGTTGCGATCAGTTGCCGGACACGGAAAAAGACAACAACAACAAAAAAGCCTATTCATGTTTTATGCTAACCTGTTGTTATTTATGCTTTTTAAAATAAAGGCATTCAATTTAATTTTACTTGAATTCAATAAAGAACATATTTTAAAAAGGTTGTGAAACAGAAGGCCCTGCTCAGCCTCACAGAGAAAGCACAGATGTCTGCTCCCGACATCCCTGAGCCTGAGAGTGGGTCCTGGCATCCCTTAGTCAAGTCATTCCTCCTGCTTGGACAAGACTGTGTCCCAGGAGCGCAGGTTGGTGCTGCCCCTGCTCTTTAGCCATGGCTGCTGTGTTCCCGAGTCCTCCCTCGAGGCTGGGGTCCCGTCACGATTCGCAAACGTCGGTTCTCTGCCTCTGGTCTGAACCGAGCCTGCCGGCTCGTGTTCTGGACAGACACGCGTCCCTGCACCCTTGAGTGGCTATGGCTTGTGGCCTCTGGGCTCCAGGAGTGCTGGGGAGAAGGCTCTAGTGCTGTCACCATGTGGCCCAATGGTTTGTCCATTTTTCCCGTCTGGCTGTCAGAAGAAACTGTCCTCATCCTTGAGCACATCCTTGCAATGAGAATGTATCTCAGCATCGATCGTTCTGCTCTCTGGTGACAGCGGGGACACCCTTTCAACCTGCGGCTCCTGTTCTTCCACCACTTCAAGGAAACCTCTCGAAGCTTCCTGAGTCCCCGGCCCCCGCCCAGTGGCCCGAGAGGCAGACACTGCTGGCTTTCCCGGAGCTCACGGCTCGGGCGCAACTGCACCTCCCCCGGCCCGAGTGGACCCGCCTCGACGGCATCTCTGCGGCTTCGTCCAGGGTCGATCAGCGCTGGCCGTGCCGCTGGTGTCGCGCCTTGGGCGTCTGCTGGCCCTCACCTGCGCTCTCCCCTCTGACCCTGCGTGGCTCCTGCAGCCCCTGGTGTTTCTCCCTCGGACCTAACATCATTTGCTGGCTCTTCACTGAGCATCCCTGTCCTGAGTCCCGCCACAAGCACCTGCATCCAGGGACGTGTGTTCTGATAACTGCTTCTGTGCTGCTAGGCCCGTGGGGGCTTCTCCTCTGTTTCTCGGGCTCCGTTTTGCCCCGGGCTGGGCTGTCCCCACCCTCCTCCTTTCCCGCCATCCAGGAGTCACAGCAGCTGCCCGGCCCCTCTGCACCTGCGCGTGCCTGACGTGGGCGCACCGTGTGGACTTTGCTGTGCTTTCCCGTGCGGGGGAGAGGCCTCCCGCAGGCCCAGGCTGGGTTTTGGGGGCTGGACGCTGCTTTCTACCCACTCTCCCAAGGCCTGGGACTCTGTAGTGGGCAGCGGGGAGAGGCCTCCACAGGGACCTCGCTGGACTCACCTAGTGTT